CAGGTCTGTGATTGGTTCGTGACAGTGCTGACTGCAGACTTGCTTTCCCCTACTTCTGAAATCAAAATTTCGTCCATGTTTCCCCCACGTGTGAGGGAAGTGATTACTTTATACATACAGTTAATGCTTGTTAGAAATTGCCAGTCGACAGCAAAGGCAAAAAAAAAAAAAAAAACATAATTTAAATGCAATGAATTAGTACCACTGACCAATCATTTAGATTCAGCTCTGAATTCAAACATTTACTACTGATTATAATGGCTGTAAAAATATTGGATTTTAGCTTAATATAATTCAGAAGCAACACCAGTATTTGACTGCTTAGTGACTATTCTGTCTGACACCAAAAGAACATATTGCTGCTCTTTTATAATAGACAAGAAACACATACCACTAAATTGAATTGCTTAGATGAAGCCTTTTAATTAGTTTATTTAGGGAGTCCCACTGAGATTAAATGTGTCTTGTGGAACAGACACCCTGCAGCGCTTGATTTAAGTTTATCATTGTATTAGCAGAAATTAACGACTGTATAGAGAGAGCTAAAAACAAAGATTTAATCTCTCTGTATTTAGTTATTTTGTTTCAAAACTCACCTGAATCTGCAGAGAATGACCATGGCTGTTGTTAGAGAGACCAGTGATGTGCTGTACCCGACTGTATAAAGGGCTTTGACTGATTCAAAATATGGGTCCTGATGATTGAGAACAACAATTAGTGTTCATAATGGGATGAAAAACAATGTTTTAATTTTGTACACAAGATAAAAAGGTTCATACAGGCTTTTGTGTTCCATTTTCGTAAAGAAAGCAGATATCCACATAGTGAGGATAAGGTTCTGACCAGCCATTTTCTGTACAGTTCCGATTCACCCTCCCGATTTCTGAAATTTAAAGCCGTGTTTTTTATGCCTTAAGAAAGCTGAAAAAAAATCCTACTTTGGAATTTAGGAAGGGTTATATTAGATTATCAGGCTACCTACCATCTTCAGGGGTCATGAAGTCATGAAAGAGTTCGGGACATTTGACCGTCACAACTTCTCCAACATCAGCAGCCTGCCAGCAGGTTAAGTTATCCCACATCCATGGACACACTGAAAGACATGGTCAAGTATCAAGCATTATAATCAATGCTTTCCTAGAATTTGGATTTCGCCCCATGGTTCATTAAAGGTGCATTGAACTCTCCTTTCAAGAGATAAAATGTCCCGTTTGATTTGCTGTTTCAAGCATGCATGGAAATATCTTTGAGAAGATTACAAGGGCTTATAATTATGTTAACAAACATATCTAGGCTCTGGGTGCGTCATGGTGGGGCCTTTTCGCAGCAGTGGTAACATACTAATGATGGGTCTATTTTTCTGAACATAATAATCTTTAGAGCGTTGGCCTCATGGTCATGTTGGCCTCATGAGAGGGATAACATCCCTAAATCAGGCTGGTGTTAAAAGTTGGACAAAGTTGCTCAATTAATTGTTCTAAACAGGAAGAAAACATAACATAAAAGATCATGTTCAACCCTCTTACACAAAGATATTTGGATGAGCCTTCTTTCCTGTTATAAGGTTCATAGTCGGGGATAACAATACACCCAAAAATTGCGTATTCAACCATTGGAACACGGAGGGCAGCTGTAGGCTCTTTAGGCAATGGACATTTTAAATGCAAAATGAATCAATACCACTATCAAAGAGGAGCTCTGACATTCCATCTAGCTATGAGGAGAAGGTATTTAACATTTCAAGTTGTGAAGGAGAAAGTGAAGAAAGAGTAGCAGGAGAAAAAATGGTTAATTAGACTCACAGGTTTTATGATTAAAATTTGACAGTATTTGTGGGGCAGCACATGAAATATAACTTCATGCTTTGGAACCTCAGTGTGATCAGTTCAGACTGATTAGATTTTTTTCTGTGTGAATTATTCACCCTAATATCATATTCCACCTGAGATATCGAAGTAGTCCACCATCAATCAGTACAAAAAGAAAATTACAGAGAATATTAGGATGGTAATCAAACAACAAGAGCAAACATAAAGGAATTTATCAATAAAGGAAAAATTAGGAAAAAATGTATCTTTTTTTCCAGAAAAAAAACACTTAACCATTTTTTAAATGCATGCACTCCAAATGTCTTTAAGGTGAAAAATTCAGATTTTTTCAAAAAGGTTGCCGTTTTTCAGAAAAGCTATTTCCTATTCATTACAGAAACAAACTATCACCTCAGAGACAAGGTAAATGACAGACACGTGGTTGTGGCTGTCTATTTTTATTTATTTTTTTTCTGGGGCAGGACTTGTGTCAGACATAAATGATCAGAGCAGCCAAAGAAAAAACATCGAGTAATGCTCTAACACTTCATGTTACAAGTGGTATTTTTTATTTTTATTTCTAAATAAGTTGAAACAAGTGAGCAGCAGATCCATAAATATTTTTTTTTAGATGGCAATGAATTTTTTTAATTCACACAAGCTCAGTTACTATATTCCTACATTATTTTTTTTTATCTCAACACTAAGCAAACAAAATATTTGTTTTGCTTGCTTAGTACTCACAGAAGATAAGCAACACAGGTCACTGGGTTGGGACTCAATTCCATGATGGCTGCGTAAAGGAGAATATTATTTTAGAAACACAGTTTTCAAACATAGTTCTCAAAACTGAAGTGGAGATTTGAGATGGGTCTGTAGTTTTAGAGTAGCAGCTAGTCCAAGTTGCGCCTTTTCACAGATAATTGATGTTTTTAGGGCCTGGGAGAAATCACCTGACAAAAGGGATGTGTTTATTATTTGTATTAATCCGACAATATTGCAAGCAGAGCTATCTTAAGAAAGCCTGTCTCTAAAACATTGAGATAGCAGGACAAAGAGCTCAGCTTGTGTAGGTTTATTAATTTATTTGGTGAAATTGGGAAATATAGTCTAGATTTGTTCAAGTTGAAGGACTTTATACGGAAGTACAGATTATCCCTTTAATCCTTTGGGATGTTCCAGGGAAAAACTGTGCAAATTCATTGCAGGCTCTGGTCTAGGAGAGTTCAAATCCTAAAGTCACAGGAGGGTTTGTTAGCCTCCTGATTGTGGGAAATAACACAAGCATTGTTTTTCCTAATGATCTCAAAGAAAACGATTTTCTTACATTTTCCAGTTGTAGGTGATATCAGTGAATTCTCTCTCCATAGATGTTATAGTGAACCTGCACACCCCCTTTTGTCATGTTTGACTGGTGGAGCAGTTCTCCATGAAGATTATTTTCCACAGTTTTTGTTTTATTTTTATTTTTTAACAATTTAACCAATGATATCTGAGATTTAATAATTAAATGTATTTACCAGCTTCTCAACATGGTTAGCGCTTAGAATGGAGGTAGGTGAGTAAAGATGGTGAAAGGTTTCAGTCTCTGACCAAAAGTGGTAGGATAGGGAAACATCCTGTACATACACTTTAGAAATGTTTACACCCTCACTGGTGATATAGCTAAAAATATGCCCCTGTTTGTGGGTTTGCTGTTTAACAAGATGAGTTAAACTAAAGTTTCTAGGAGTATCACATAGTTCAATTGCACCTCTGTTGTCAGGATTGTCAATGTGAATGTTGAAGTGTCCAACAACAATTTAGCAGTCATATTTGACATATATTACAGATAAAACTATTAGAATTACCAAAAACCTTTGTTTTAAACATGGGGGGCCTGTAGATAACTAAGAACGTGCTTGGCCTGGGCTCTTAACCTGGAGATTCAAATTTGTCCAGAAATACCTTTTCACACGTTACTGAATCTTTTAGCAAGCTCAACACGGTGTCACCTTTCCTCTGCTGTCTACTCTCTTGAAGGAAATTATAGTTTGGATGTGTCACATCTGTGACAATAAAATCTCAATATATTTGTTTAAACGTGTTTCATAACATCAAGACTATGATCAGATATATGGTCAATGATTAAAAAAGGACATAGATCTAATGTGGCTGATATTAACATTGTGTCTAGTGTAGTCCTGTTTCTCTCACTGTGACTAACTGTATGTGCTCTCTTTCATCCTCTGACATGGGAACTGGGCTGTGTCTCCCGCCTGTGGAGCTAGTAAACTTTTGTATCTTTGTTTTTTTTTCTATGTCTGGATCTGTCTCCTTCTATTTCCATTCTATTCTGACCAAACATGACTGGAACCAAAAAGTACTGTACTCAAAGCTTGCTCTGTAAGCAAGCTTTGTGGGGACAAGAGCGCAACTCACAATGCTCACTTGGATTTTCGTGCATTGATTTGTGCAGCTTTGTTCAGCTTCCATATTTTTTTTCCCGTTGAAAATAACACATCAATATTACTGATAGGATCAACTAAATGTTTCCTGTCTGTTTCTTCCGTAAAAGCAGCTGTGTTCAATCCCATGACTTCACTTCCTGCTCCCTCAGCGGTACTGCCAATTAAGGTCTGAGTAGTTACACCTGAGACAGCGCCAATTACTTGGAGTTGCGGCACTGGGAGAAGCACTATATATGTCTGGTTCTCCCAGTGTGTATGTAACTGAACTGCCAGATTCTTGAAAGGCATTTGTGTGACTAGACCTTCCAGAATTCCTAGTTTCGACCTCCTGATATTGATCTGTATTATTCCAGACCTCTGGCGTTGGCCTCCTGCCTTGCCTTTTGTTTGCCTCTAAAAACCTCTGCCTGATTAATGTGACTCTCTTGCTTGAATCCTGGACTAGAAACTTTAGTGCACCCTAACATGACTGAGTTGTCCTTGGCTACTACCCTGCTCTTCTTCCTACAGTGATTCCAGTTTCCGTCATTTCCCGCAACACCAATTTATTAATTAACAAACTCTTTTATGACGGTTCTTCCTGGGGTCGTTTGAGCTTTCAGGTCTCTAAATTCTGTCCAGACATTACAGACAAGAATGAGCTGCATTACAATTCATCACAGGTGTTGGACATTGGATTGTTTGTGTCTGGTACATTTCCAGACACAAACCAACAAAGGTTTTGATAGCTTTTTGCACATTTCAACCCTATCATAGACTTTTTTTCTTTCAGAATTTTTCATACCAGAAGTGCGTCCCATACCAAGGAAAATTCATTCAATTTTGGTGATGATCCAGATCATAATCTGGATACAGGATTCTTAACATTGTAAGATAGGGTTAATTGGTAAAATACGTATTTCCCCCTTAACCAGAGGATAATGGCAGTTATTATGGACAGCTTAAACATCAAATTAAAAAACTACCAAAGTATTCTAATGAAGGAAAAAAATACAAAAACATAAGAAAAGGGTGTACTGTTTATAAGTTAACAGGATTACCTGAAAAGTTATGAACAAATTTTAATGACATTTTTTTACCAGAGGTGTGCCTCATGCCAATGAACAATTGATTAAAATCTGGTTATGATCAAGATCATACGTGAGTTTTATCTATAGGTGTTAGTCACAATATGGGGCAAAATCGGCTGCTTTTGCTGCTATGCTCAAATCAGAATTTGCACAAGTTTCAAACGTAACCCTTTGTTTGAGGTATTTAAGCACAAGTACGCCAAATTGCACCAATTTAGTTGGTGAATAAGAGAACCACTCATCAATATTATCTAATTTGACAGTAGCCTAAAACCTGATTTATGCTTTTTTTATGATACCTTTAAGTGAAGGTCCATATATAGTGTATAACATTTGTTCAATTCATTGCATTTTAACCAAATACTTCTTCCTTTCTCCTTTGGTTGGTTACAATTTTGGCTAAATTGACTCTTTATCTACTTTATCTTCCATTTTGTCTCATTGTTTCTGCTGCACCAGGTCAATATTGTTTGTGTCTTAAATGTGTTTTGTGGTGAGGATGCATCTGTGTGTGCATGCATCTCTACACATGTGAGTGTGCATGAGTTTGCAGACCTTTTGCTTCTCTGCTTGCCTCTCTAATCTGTTTTGGTTCTGTCTGCTGAGCCTGACACGAAGCCAATTACCTTTTAAAGGGCAAATCAGAGCCAAATGAGCCGCACTGAGCCACAGAGGTAAGGCTTAATAAAAGACTCTGTCTGCATCGTTGGCCATCTAAAACAAGATCTTACTGCATGCTGAATCTTTACTGGGCAGGAAACATTCAGAATGCACACAACACATTTTCTCCACATGCAGGGTGTGGGGAGCATGCAAAGGGATCTACAAGACAGAAGTAATTTTCTCCTTTAATCCCTTGAGTGAATGATTTATTTCAATTTTTTTTAATGTGGGTTCAACCATAGTCAAACAGGATGTTCTTACTTATGATTAGATTATTAAGAATTTCTGTTACTCTGTACACAAAGAGACTGAACATTTTTCTATTCAACATCAGACAGATGTTAGCCAGTTTATCGAATTCTAATATACATTTTGATTGGTTTAGTTTTCCTCTCCAAGAATAGCAGCTAATTTAAATAATTACAATAACTGCATCGGAATCAGGACTCAGAAATCCTGTTAAAAGTTATTGGTTGAAATGCATTATAAAAGGTGAAAACCAACTGATCTCCATAATAAATCATTGTTAACATATTACCTGGAAAAGTAATAAACCAGAACAATCCAAACAAATAGTTTTAGAACCACATTTCTATAATATTTATTGTTGATTCTTTTCTTTTCCTCTTTTTGTTAAGCTTTTTTCTAAGACTGCTAGACTGATCTCTGCAAAGCAGGCACCTTTATATTCTTCCTCCAACGATTTGCTGTCAGCAGAAAGAGCAGAATAGCATCTTTAAAAGGACAGGGAGAGACAGGGATCATTTAAAGGGTCATGGAGGGCCAACATATGACAGAGTGTGCCGACAGTGGAAAGTTTTAACAAAAAAAACTCTGACATACTGTTTCAATAACAGAAGAAAAAAACCCCAACAGGATCTTTGATGTTAAACAGGCATTAGACTGAACTGAACAGGAAAGTGCAACCACTCAAAACACCACATAATCTCAAAGAAGGAATTGAAAAGGTTCTCTTCTTTTTGTTCAATGTGAAGCTTTTACAGTGCAATATAACAATACTCAGCTAGATAATCTTTTATATGATCATTTTCAATCAATGAGCTGAAGTTCCAACTCTATTGCATGTTAAAGGTTATTTGCCCCATAATCTAAATCTTTTGGTGGCTGTCAGCAAAGGGGTGAGTCACAGAGCAGTTAGGAAGTTCCAGTCTGTTGTACAAATTTTAGGCAGCAGGAGGCCTGCACCAGACACTAATGAAAACCACAATCCATGGCCAAGAAAATAATTGCTTCCAGGAACCACATGACAAGATTCCTGTGTTTTCGAGAAAAGGTGACATTGGAAAAAAAAAAATCAGAAAGAAGCCTACCGGAACAGTCGAGCAATTATTTTCTTTTTGTCGACTAACAGAAAGCAGCATATGCTGTTCGACAGCCTTTATGAGAAAGGTGGTTTGGAATGTAAACATAAAACATCATCTTTTATCGCCACATTTAAATGAAGTATTTTCAAGCCTGTAATATGCTAAATCACTTAGTGGAAAAAAGCAGAGCCTTTCCAATGATCCATGAAGGCTGAGGCATGGCTTTCATCAAAAGGATCCTCTGAGTGTCCACTGAGTTTCCCAAGATGCACAGAATTTGAATTTGGAAACCGTAAAAGGCAACAGTCTACTGTCAATTTATGCACATAGACGTATTCATGATCATACAGGCATTTTACATCCTCACTCACCAAATTCAAGGCCATCTGGGTTGTGCATTTCCATCATTTCAATGCATTTCTCATGTTCATGCTTCATTATACAGTCCTTGGACTCGGATGCCACCTACAGAAAACAAGTGAAAATAAAACTGATGTCAAAATAGGTTTAGAAACCAACAAGTGCATTCCTCTAACCAGCTCCATGTAAGAACACAAAATTGGCACACATCTGTAAAAAAGCTAAAATTACGAAAGTAAGGAGAAACTAAATGTTGAAAGTTTCACTTTAAGAATTTTAATGCACAGAGGGACTGAAATGATATCTTATTAAAAATCTGTAAAATGTTGTCTCTGCAGTTATTTGAAATGTCACAAAAATATTGCTTTAATTCATTTTTTATTTACTATCTTTTATAAGAAGACCATCACAACATCAATATATCCAAGGTTAACACATCATTTTGTTAACCTTGGATATCTTGACTAATTGATGCAAGTGATTAAAATTTATTAAAATATGAAATGATTTAAAATATCACATTTCTGGATAAAACCAAAAGGCACTTCATAGCCAAAAATCTAAAAACAAACCTTAAACAGAAATAAAAGCATGAACAACCATCTTTATCTGACAAAATCCCATCTAACAACAATAACAAGAAAAAGCACTGAAAACCAGATTTTAAAAATTGGATTCAATTTGTAAAGAAAGAATTCCACTATTTAAAACAGTTTTAAAGAACAACATATCCAGATTACCAATGGAAGTCTATTTCTCTTATTCTCGCAGAGATAATTATCCCTCATGCTGGACTGCATTTTTTTGGATCCACTTGGTTTTAAAACTTTAAAAAAGCTGAAATGAGTAATGTAAAATTGGCAAAGATCAAGAACAAATCAACAACAAGACTGTTCTCATTGCAGTGTCTCTGGTGTTACTGATTTTGTTATATTGGTGATTTTTTAAAATCAAAAGCAACATTTTCTAGGCAGAAAACAAACAAACAAAGAAAACAGGATATTTTACTCAGCCTTCAAAATAATAGGAACTGTGTTGGGCTGTGGCACTGATAACTGGGGGGTTTCTGGGGTTTGTAGTGCTATGAGTGCCGATGTACAAGGGTGTAGTGGATTTTGTACTGATGTGTTTGTGGAGGTATGTATATGTTCATTTATGTATGTAGATGTATATATCTATATATATATATGTATATATATGTGTGTGTGTGTATATGTATATTATTGTGTATATATGTATATACAGTATATATTTTTTGTGTGTGTGAATATTGGATAAAAAACAAGTTTAACAGGAAGGTTACTCTACTTTCAGTTAATTTAAGTGCAATTAGAGGAAGAGGTATGAAAAATAAGTTTTACTTCTTCATATCCCTTTTCAGCCATTTACATTAACTGATGTCATTTATCTGGCTGTATATACCAACAGGTTTATTTAGGGGAGGGTTTTGTTTCTATGTATGTTCAGGTGAATATAGCTAGTTTGGAAATTGGTGTTTGGTTTGGTTGATGTTAACTAGTCTCTTTTGTGTTTATTTGGTTGATTCGTATACTGCTGTTTATTGTTGTTTGTCAAACATTGTCATTGTCTGAAAAAAATTCTATTCATTAAAATTCCTGTTCATTCATTCATTCATTCATTCATTCATTCATTCATTCATTCATTCATTCATTCATTCATTCATTCATTCATTCGTTCAAAAATAACACTTAAACTTTAAATTTTCACTAAAATATCAAGTGAAAATTTAAAAGCCCAAAGTTTCTAATGTTCTCATTAGAGACCTATGTGGCACAACTTGCAGACATTCTATAATCAGAAAAGGCTCTCAAAAAAGCCAAACAAAGTAAATAAAGACATAGAACGTATTTTTTGAGAGGTTTTGCAGTCACTGTCATCTTCTGACTCCAAGTTTCTTCTGATTCCTTTGGGGCCAATCTCCATTTCACAACCTCAGTCTCTCCTTCCTTCTCACAGTGAAAAGATAGGTGAAATGTATCCCAACCCTCTGAGCCATGGCTGACTCATCACTTAATCTCTGCATCTAAAATCAACTCACTTCGGGCCTCGCTACACTGTTAAGATTGGGATGTTGCTGGAAAATGATGAAGAATTCACCTCCTTCCTTATAATGCTCCACATATCTTGAATTTGAAACATGCTGAATTATAAATTATATGAGCATCAAAAGAGAAATATGTGCTGTGAAGCATTAACATTTCTAATAAACTACAATAAATAAATTCAAAAGAAAACAGCCGCTTCTTTGATAATTTGTTTTTCATATATCTGTAGTCAATTAATAATGCATTTTCTCCAATACTGTTTCAAAAGAAAAAGCACCTTTCATACCCACACGTAGTATCCATGTTGCTAAGCAGCGTGTAACCAGCATACTGAAGGCAAAGCTTCCCACATTAGAAATAATTGGATGCAGATGACTAAGATATGTTTGGCATAAATTCAGACAGAGCTGTCAGATAAAAGGATGAATGTGTTATTCTGAATTTATGCAATCAAGTTGAAGATATGGTTCTGCTTGCTGAAGGCTTGAGCTTCACTGTTAGTTTCTGCTCCTAACTTCATTGTAATATTTGTATTTTCCTGTATTTGCTGATAGTTCTTCAGTTAGAGTCATTGCTAAACAATTCACATCATAAATTTAGATATAAGACAAAACAACTGTTACATTTGTCTTGCCAAAACAAATTGTAATGTTTACACACACATCACATAACTTACATTAATTTCTACAGCCTACCCTAAACCTAACCATTATGGGCTAGTATTTAACCCTAAACCCAATCTAAACTAAATTCACACCTTAGTCCTAAACATTACCCCTGACCCTAAAACAGCATCTTCCCTTGTGGGGTCCAAACAACCCCACAAGGATTATTCAGTTCCCCCAAAATGCTATTTGTCTTGAAAATGGACCACAGTATGTATAAAATACAAGAAAACAGGCACATCAATTTATTCTTGTGTGAACTTTCCATTGACTTCTATTTATTTACTATTAATTTTTACGCCTTAACCCATATCCTTACCCTAACCATTACCAACACATACATAACTCTAAACCTAACCGAACCTCAGTTCACTCCTTAGTCCTAAACCTAACCCCCAAACCCACTCTTCCTCTTAGGGACCAGTTGATGGTCCCCACAAGTACCTGTAAGTCCTCTAAATACAGCATATTTCTGTGAAATTGTCCCCACAGGGCAATAAAAGCATAGCCACCCACACACAGATATATATATATATATATATATATATATATATATATATATATATATATATATATA